GGATGGTAACAAGTACTGGTCGCTGATGTGTGAATGCGCACGACCCATTGATGATCCAGTGAGTGAGCGGAGGTCGACGCTGCAAAAATTTACAAAACGTTGCACAGCACTTTTTCCGATTTAGATAAGCGAAGAGGAGGTTGTCAAACAAGCAATCGATGGTTTGGTAATCAAGAGCATGATCCAACGAGACAAGATTGCGTCGGTTTACTCAACTACCTTGGAATACGGATATCCCATTCCCACTCCAGCCGTTAGTTCTTGAGATTTATATCATAGCCTCTCCCTAATTATCACTGTTGTGCTCGGCTACATCCTGAAAGCAAAACCTATAAAGAACGTTCTAATTTTGATACTGGAGCGCTGCTCATTTTGAGTTAGTTAATTCCATAACAGGGCGGATTCTTGTGCTAATTCAAGTCTTTACATCTTTTTACTGAGCGATTTTGGTAATTCATCTTTTTACTCTTGGAAGTGTAACGTGCCAGACCCGTGAATGTTGATGTTCCCCGCACCTCAGATGGACAACTATCTCACCATTACGGCTCCAATCGTAAGTACAAAGAAACCGAATGTGCGTGTGTGATGGTAAACGCACACAGTCTCCCACTTATATACTGAGGATCCCGGATTGTTCGCACTCGCATAGTGTTTTACATAGTGATGGTCTGGCTCTATACTGCATCTTACGTGAAGCTCTAGTGATGACTGACACTCCACCAAATACATGAATAACAATCGTCTGCGAGTGAACCACCCCTTTAACCCTGCATGGTTCGCTCTGCCTTCACCATGCGCCCAAGCCTTCTAAATTCTAGGATCAGTGATGTGCTACCGATCTCGTCTAGGATGGAGAGCATTGACCTGTTCATTGGCTGACCACTACAAATTTTTGTATAATCCCTGTACGCATTCAATACGCCACTACGATTCCGAATGGAAGTCGAATGCTGGGGGGGGGAGGGGGCACGTCCTTTAGGCGAGATTGATTAACGCCGAATGTCTATACTCTCTGAATGCAGAATGTTAGAACTTCTTACGAAATCAACCATCACATCAGGCAGCATCCCCTCTATAGCTTCTGTGGAGTGGCCCATGCCATAGCAAATCAAGACCTAGACTATGCTATGAAATATTGCAATGTTCGAGAATCGAATGAGCTTCTGAGGTCGCTTTTCTCTGAAAAATCTTCGTTAAGGACGAAAGTTGCTTCTCCCTCAAGTGATTCTCAACCTTTTCCATCACCTGTCGT